AAACATCGATACACCGCCTACTCGCTGTCCTTATGATCCAATTTTCTGAAGCGTATGTCATTGTGAGGAAAATCAAAGATCGAATGAGTCGCATCATGATGTATTTCAATATTCCTCTATCTTTCTATGTTCGTTAATTTGGCTATTGCAGTTTTAGTAAGTATAATTCTACGTTGAATTTTGCCTACGTATTATAATCACCGGTATTAATTATTCGGGGTATATTAGACTCTCAACGGTCTCAATCATTAATCTTTTGTTATGTTGATTTCCCTTTTAATTTGCTCTGTCGACGACAGTATTTTATTTTTTGTCGCATTTATTTTGAAGTCGTACTTTTCATTTGTCTTCTCCATTCTCTTCAATAGTTCTACTATTTCGTCCTCTTGCAATATCCTCTTGTCATATCGTCTGCGTATCTCAGATCGTGTACCTTTCTTCCATTTATGGACACCCTTATCCTATCCGTTTGTGATCTCGTATACTATCCATTCTCCGTAGATATTGAACAGGATTGATGATATGATCTCATTCTTTTATTGACTTTGAAGGATTCAGTCAGCTGGTTGTTTACTCCAATTTTAGCTTCGTTCTGTAGAGATTACGAATTAGACTTACAAAATGAGGGGAACACCGAACGTTATTATGATATCTCAGAGCTTCTTCCACTTAACACAGTCGAAGGCCTTTTAGTATCCAAAAAACAGAGATATTCTGGTGTATTGAATATCCTCAATTTTTTAATAATTTGGCGAACATTTAAGATTTATTCCCTTGTGCCTCTGACATAAATCCGACCTGTTCTTCCAATATTTGTGGATAAATAAATGTTTTAAGTCTCTCATTAATGATTCATAATAGCACGCTTGCATGTGAGGTCAGAGCGGACTACAGTTCTATAGTTGCTGCATTTAGTTTTTGCTCCCTTCATGTATAATTTGTATTGATATGAATATAGATTTTATCCACTCGGCCATATTTTATTGCAAAGCATGTAGCATGTAGCATATCAATTCCTGGTTACTTACAGCTTTTAACATTTCTGAAATAATATCGTCCCGTCCGGGCTTTTCCTTCTTGAATGTCTTGACAGCAACATTATTTCTGTTTTAAGTATATCTTAAGTATAAATAAATGTATATGATAGTATTCGATACGCAATCTAAAATTTATGTAAACTACGTAAATGCTATCATGTTTACTTTTAATTTGCGCAATAATTATTAATAAATTATACATTTATTGGAATGTTTATATCCGTATTGAATATATCTGTTCAATGTAACATTTATCTTGTCATAATAAATCAAATTCATTGTTACTTTATTGATGTAAATTATACAAAACATATGATAACAAAAATTATTTTTTGATTTAACGAGTTTAATAAACATTTAATTTCAATACTTTTTTTAATTTAGATTTTATTTTGAATATCGAAATATCATTAATAATTTTGAATGACTTTTAATTAAAAATTTGATATTTAGAATCAATTATAATCAATTTTCCTTTGTATTTAGTATACAAATTTATTAAATAAGTCAGTAAAGATTGGAATTTTGACTGAGGCAATGATTGAAGTTAAATATTAATATTTTTCTTATTTGTTTTTTGTCATTTATATTTTTAACAGAATTACAAGTATATCTTAATAATTGATTTATTATACAAGTCCTTATCGCTGTCCCTCGCGATCAGATGTATGCCTGTGAATGCAGAGTTTATATCGATGGAAAGTCGTAATTATTTTCATCATGGAGAGTATTCTTTGTCGCTTTCTATAAAATCCATTCGCAAAATCTAGTTTGATGATCCCATTCGAGATTTTTTTATTTTAAAATCAAGTTGCGAAATTAAATTAATTTAATGGTATATTTTAAGATACAATTTTTGTCGCTTTCTTAATTTTATTAAATGTTCTCCCACTAGTAATAATGTTAATAATAGTCTTAATAACAATAGAAATTTAGTATTGCATGATTAATATAGAT